GGATGTTAAACAAGCAGCGAAATGGCGTTGTGGGTGCCATCAACGCTGCAAGTTTTTCGGGATTCATCCGGGACAATCAACTATTACTGCAACAAATTTACTTTACGAATTTGCGCACAATCTAGCAGGGTCTGTTTCGGTCAGGATTAAGTAAGTTTTTCTCCCTTTCACTGTTTTCCAAAGCCGTTATTTTAAATGATTACATAGAATTATTCTCAAGTAGTATTTATATGATTTTTTTGATAATGATATTTTAAACACTCCCGTCCTTTACCTCTTACCCGCGACTAGTAGTGTGCAAACCGTGTTCGAATTCACATTTTTACTTTCTCGCGCTTCAGAAGGAGCTTGTTAAGAGAAAGTTATGTAATGCTGCGTGAAAAACCTGAGACTTTTCGGCAGGAAAACTCTTCTTAAAAGGTCCTGGTAACGAAAAAGTAGATAAATCCACTTGCTAAATTTAGAAATGTAAAAATCCTCTAACACGTGGCATTGCGAGAACTCCTATCCTTCCTTGATACCACAAAATCGATTGACGGTAAAATGTCAATCCGTAAACAACGCTAGTGGCCAAACAGTTCAGTCGATTTTCTCCCAAAATTAATATCCAATTTGGTTGATGTCGCAGCCCCTTGAATTTGAAAACGATATTTTAATTTTCGGGAGTAAAGCCCCTCCGACATTTTCAAAATTTAAAAAAATGGCGCCATCGGTTTTGAATAAATTTTGTTGTTGGATGATGCAGGATGTTTAAAAGAACGGCGCACGTCAATGTTTGTCGAAAACTGATTGTTCGAAAATTCAAATAATTGTCGGCGTCTTCCTACAACTAAAATATTAAAGATGTATCTTTTTTCCCCTTAATGAAATATGTTCCTTAAAGATAGATTTTGAATTAAGGTTATGTACAATTTTTCAAAAATTTGAGAATTTTTTGCATAATAATGCGTGCAATATAGGCAATTTTTAATTTTTTTAAACTATTTTTCTCAAAAAACGGCTTCATCGTTTTTGATGAAATTTTTTTAGTGGATATTCTGAAGGACATTTAAGAAAATGGCGCAGGTTTCATGTTGGTGGAAAAACCTTGATTTTTCTATAATTGAAAACTCAGTTTTTCAGCGTCGTCCTACAATTACAATTATGAAGATTTCGTTTTAAATTGCATCCTTTAATTGTGTTAAATGAGAAAACGAATAGATGAGCGGTCGTTGTTGGTTGTTACCCACTGTCGTATCGCCGCGTAGCACAGATAACATGATAATGACGGTTGGTTTAGTTCGCTGAAATAACTAATAGTTTGTAGAATATTACAATACCATAGCGTTTAATAATTACTATTATATATTTTTCTATGTTTTCGCCAACGCTATCAATATTGTATTATTTATTAACTTTTAATTATTTCTCGCATTCTGCTTATTTTGTACACTAAATGTTCTGATTTCAAATGAGTTTTACAAAAAATTATTCAGAGAAAAATTGTGGTATAAATAGTATTACATAACCATTACTTATGACGAGAAAGTATGTGCTGTTTTAGCACTACTAGTTCAAGCATGCTGTGATGAAGGCGGCCCAAACTGCGGTCCAGCACCGACAAACCTATAGATTCTAACGCGAGAAGAATGGAGTCGAAGATATGTTTGTGATAATATGCCAGAATGAATAAATTGAGAGTTCTTTTTCTCTCCTATAGTGATTTGTCTGGCAACTTGACGTGTGAAAATTACACGCTAGCTTGTTGTACTATCCCTCATAATGTTAATTATAACTGCCGTCGCTAACCATTATTCTAAAGGATTCGTCAGTAAACATCTTGGCCAAACATTTTCCCATGAAGCTTATTAACAAAAAATCATCAAAATCGCTAAAGAGCAATGAAATTTTTGTAAAACCAACTTTCAAATTATATTTAGTACACAAATCACGTTACACATTATTTTGAATCTTTCTTGACCTGAGTATGTTGAAGCAAATCGTAGGATTCATGCATTGTTACTTCATTATGTAATCAGTAAATAAATTAAAATCACTGATTTACCTTTTAGATATGTAAGTCTGATAGGAACTTTTACGTAAGTTAAAAATGTAGAGTGTGTAGAAAATAATATGAAATTTGCTTTACGTTTTGCAGAGAAATAAAACATCTAACGAAGTTAGAGCTTACACATTAACTATGTATATGAATACAAACGCATTGGTACTTTTATGATTTTATAATTTGAAATGGAAGTTGGTTAGTAATAACTTGCGTAACGTCATTACCGTACGTAACATATTCCAGATTATCACAATCATTTACTTCTAAATTGAAGTCTACTTGTGTTACTAAAATACTAGCACAAAAATCTGAAAGAGTACAAACTGAAATGCGATATTACGATTTGGCGACATTTTAAATAATAATATAATGCAGATGAAATTTGTTCACAACTGTAGTTGGCAATTGCAAAACGGGAAACCCATTCCAAACTAATTGTCAAAACTTACAACTATGACTAGGTGATGAAATGTAAAACAACTTTACTTTCAAGTGTGTAATCTTTAATTTTAATTCATTATTTTCCAAATAGGATAGCTACTCTATTAGAATATGTTTCGAACATGACCAATAAATTTTGGATTAGATCTCCGATACATAAATTTATAAATATTTTTGTTTTTAAAAAGATATTTGAACTGATTAAAATTAGTCAATGCGCCTGAATCGGAGTAATTCCTCATTATGTATACTGCCTGTACACATTGAAACAGTACGTGCGCGCTATCCCCGTCCTGAACGACATTTGGAGTGGTGAAAGGGGGCCCACACGAGGCTTCCCAGCATCTAATTTTTGTAAAGCCTCCACTGCACTCCGTAAGCAGCTTGCGGAAGCCCTGGCTGCCGCGAAGCCCCGGCAATTCCTGACAGCGTAGCAACCGCCTCTGATGGGGGATCTCGGTTTGGCAGAGTCAGCCTCGATGACGGTACAATACACCAAGCACTATTTTAATGTGCTTATCTGAATCTTCAAAACTCCCGCTTAGTAGTAAAGAGGAATGACTTCCCAGAATACTATCTCTTAAATTGTAAGAAGTTTCTTTAAAACTTAAAATACAGCACTGTTAACTAAAACAATTTTAAAACTAAAATTTAAAAACTAACCACCATTGCTCAAACCCAAGAAAAACAATCATTTGAAGTTGTCCATGGCAAACATTTTTATTGACACAAACGAGTAAACTATAAAACATATTTCCAAAAGAATAACGTTATATCAGAAAAATCGTTAAAACGTAGGGGGAAATATTACGATTTAGCCATTAGTATCTTAGATGCTCTTCGGCAAAGTTTTACTAAGCGCGTATGCAACCGTCATGTCCACGCTGATGGGAACAAAGACGTTAAACTAGGTACTTTCCGAATTTAGAGTAAACCTATTTGAAGAGAGACTTGTTTCGCCCACGAGTGAATATTTTGTAGTGCATTTAGTCCAGATATTTACAACATTTTTTTTTGATTATCTGTTTTGCAAAATGTATACGTATGTATACGTTAAACCCTGTTTTGGTGTGACATTTCTGACAATTTTATCTCAAATAAATTGCTTTCTATTCGGCTCAAACATCATGCACTTCAAACTATTCTGTAACAACTTTCAACCTTAACCTATGCCGGGAATACGCCATTTCGCATGTCGGGAATTTCGTCATTCAGTAATTTCTGCAGACTTTTTCACTCATTGTCAGTAACATTTAGCATTATGAGGCGCATTTCTGAAGTAGGAATAAATTAATAAATAATATACATGAAATAGAATATTTTTTGGATATTTTCCACTAAACATTTTTCTTCTTATTTTTTCCTCACTCCATTGACATTGGACATACTATAAAAATATAAAAAAAATCAAATTAATGTTCCCATAGATTGTACACCATAAAATTATGCTTATTTTCAACATTTTTAGATCAAACATCCGGATCCTCGTGATAACCGAATTTTAATACTGTAATTGGTAATACTTCTAGTCACGTGATGAAATTTTGAAGATTACTATCTCTGGAATAAGTAAAATGTTTCCCGAGATTTGAAATATCAATAAGTAATGAGTTTAACATTTCTTTTAATCCACGATGTAGACATTTTTAGTCTTTTACCCTTAGATTCTTTTACCGATCGCATACATCATATATGATTTACATTATTACAGCTTTCGAAAGCTTATTTCTCTTTCCTAATGATATGCACAATCTTCCATCTTTGCCTACAATTTCTCAAGTTGAAAATTTGTGCGGTTCCAGCATTTAACTTGCTTATCACTGTATTCATTGTTCTGTGAGCGAAAACCAATAACCTGATTATTATTCCGTAACTGAAGTTGAAAATTATGGGCATGGCACTCTGTATACCGTCAGAGCAAGCACAGCATCGCGCTGCAGCTCCTTGGGAGTTTTCGTCGTTTTCGCAGCTTGGCAGAGGACGCTTGCAGCCTAGCTGCTACTGCGCTGCGGGGTATTGATCCCCACACTTTCAATTTACACGTAATGACTCATTAAATTGCCACTTAGGCAAATCTCATCTTGCTCTCAAAAATTGAGTTTGCACAGGACGCTCCGGAAACGCCTCCCCTGTCCGGTGGGGGAGGGTGCGGGGAGTTGCGGGCGCGCAAACGTCATTATAACTCCTCTTTCACAGATCGATGCGCACGAAACTTCACTTCTCTTGCAAACGTACCGGTCGTTTCGTCACAGAAACTCTCGAACTGGGAACTTCGCGAACGGTGATAGATTCATGTACAAGAACAAACGCACGAGGATAAATCGCATATGCGAGGTAGTTTGGGTTTGTGGGGACCTGTAGAGGGTCTAAAGTAATTAATAGCCTGGGCGTCTTCAGCACACTAGGGCACAGAAACTACGAGGCTAAGATAGTGAGAGTTGATGAGAAAAGAGAAAGAGCATAATGGAGGCAGCGCTAGCCCCAGAGAACCCACAAGTCATCTGAAAGCACTCACCTTGCCCTGCATGATGAGCCGGATGGTCAGGGTAACGGTGGGGTCATCGTTGGGCAGGGGTTTAATGGAGTCCATGGAGTCCATGCTGAATACTGTAGTGTGTCGGGCCACTAACGGCGAGAGGGCGGCAGACAGACGGTAGCGGTTGGGGCCGGTATGGGGGGTTGGTGATGCTCACAATCAGCTCACTTCACTCTGCACACACAACACGAGAACAGCACACATTAGGCCTGCTATCAAAGTGGGCAGTTTTTAATTAACAAAAAGGATTCAAAATAATCCTGGAAGCAGAATCCAATATTAGGATAACTACTAATATGCTCAGAACTGGAGATGAAGTAAGAGCTGCAACAAGAATAGATGTAGGGTCATAAGCCTTCATATATTCAAGTTTACAATGAGGCTATCATCGTTTTCCATTTTTTCTTTATACAATGGATAGAGGTAAGAGCGAGACAGGACATACATACAAGTCTTCATGCTATAAATTATAGACACAGTACCAATGTCAATACGGGAACGTGATGAAATATACACAAGGTAAACGACAAACAAAAAACAAACAAAAAAACGCATCGAACATACACACATACATACAAAATCACTGGGACAACAGGCTTGGCTGTACAATTATATAGCATTGCAATTCTACGTCTACAGCACATAGCACAGGGGAAATTACCACAAAAAATAAAAACAAACACCGTTCAAAACCAACACGCTCCGATGCAACAACACTCGCGTCATACTAAAAAAACCCAACTGAATATAAACTCGTGAACGGTGAGCGGAGCACGGCCGAATTGGCGAATACGCGGGAGAGAATTCAGGAGGCAAAAAGCGACGCATGGACGCGTCGGCTAGCAGAGCGGGGGCTGCCGGAGGTGCGCTTACCTGCAGACGGGGAGAGGGCGTCTGAGGCGAGCGGGCGCGGAGACGGCTGCTACGCTAACCGGATTGCCTGCCGCCGCGGCGCCCTCGGCCCCTCCCGAGTAGACGCCTTACGACTGCCCCGTTCATCCGTGTCGCATTGCATAGTCTCGGGCCGCGAAGGGCGCGCGGACGGACTGAAGCCCCAAGAAAGTTGGCACATCGCTCGCAGCGAAGGTTTCGCAGGGTTTCCTATCCGATCGAGAAGTAAGTGATCGACGGCTAAACCGGAAGGGTCGACCTGTTTAGACGAATTATAACGAAGCTTAACAGTATCCATGTCTCTTTGTAGTATCAAAAATTCACGCCCCTTGTGATATAAATTATCTTTCGCATGCGAGTAGATAAATACCTAATATTTTGGGCAATACAAAATCCTGGCATTTGTTTGCCTCTTATTGTGTTTCAGCGATGTCTGCGCAGATTAATTTCGCTGCTGATTGTTGTAACACAGCATATGGTGAACGGAAAATTACACTGAAAATAGCAGCGAGCTAAAATTGACTAATTGACAGGGACATCGAGAACAAATTACTAAAATTCTGCTCCCTTAATATCTGATTAGCGACAATGTGGGGTCAAAATTTGAAGAAAAAAAATCACTAATCGTCATTGTAAGGAATTTACTATATTACAAATAATACACTTGTACTGTATACTGTTATATAACTAATTGGTAACTTTTTGGTCATTGAAAGGAATTTACTTCTAAATCGGGTGAGATGCATCTTAGAAGAGTAATAAGACAGCTTGTAAGAACACTTGCACATTAGCAAGTACATCACAAAAAAATAAACTTATAAAAATCAATCGTCTCGAGAATTAGAAGCGGTATGGAAGGTGAAAAGTGATCCTCTTTCCAAGGACATTAATATTCATAATACACACGAGACAAAATGTATTGCTTTACTCCAGTTTCGTATAAAGTTGAGAATAAAACAGCCTTTTAATAAGGACTTGACTATTTTCACAAAAAGCTTATTGCAGGGATCTAACATGTGTGGTCATGTGTGTATTTCTCCTCAAAATATGAGAGGTATTATACATGTCAGGAATTCTGAATAACACGTCTTTCCAATTCCAATATCTGACAAGTTTAACATTCTCCAATGTAGCATCTTTCTGAGAGTCTACCCACTGAGCCTCCCAATGGATTCCCACCTTCTCATGCGTCAGCAGCACTGTCATTTCTTAATTGAATAATTCGCGCAAGGATGCACTTTTCGTGAGGCAGTAGCAAAGGTTCGTAGGCGCGGGAGGCGGCGGCACGTGCGCAGCCACGGGCGACGTGGGCCGGGAAGCGCAAGTCTCCTGCCAGAACAAACACGCGCCCTGACAGGCGGGGGACGGGGGCGTGAGGGCGAAGGCGGCGTGGGACCCCTCATGAATGGGGCGCCTCGGGCGAGGGCCGAGAAAGACGACCCGTCTGCCGCCCACTCGAACGGCCCGCGAGACTCCCAATTCCCGTTCGCATCTCGCGCCCGCGGCGCACAGTACCTTTGTATCGGCACACACAGTAATTCATGTTGTTGGTATTATTAATATATAACGAATATTTAGGGGAAGAAGCAGTTCATTAATCAGGGCTATATTTATATTTATCCACTAGAGTGAAGCTCATGGATGTGAGATTTCCTTGAGAAAAATCTCCCTACTTTAGATTGGCGAATAATGAAATTTCTTTTTAATTCCTACGTAAATATTGATATACAATATCGAAACCTTGACGTTATTCGATAAATTTGATATGCCATGATTCTATGAATAAATAGAACAAGTTGCAACTAGATATATTTGAAAATTTTCTCCACATAAGAATGTAGGATTGAAATAAATCTAATTGTGAACGCAGAAGGCGAAATCGAGACATGTTTATAAATATAAATTTGATATTTTTGAGAGATATTGTTTAACCAAATCCTTGGAAATCGCGTAAAATGTGTTAGCTGATGGTGGTCCTGTGCGTTGGTTGGAGTGGGCGCGCTGGCAGGGAGCGGTATGCGCGTTTCATGGGCGACGAGTTGGCGTGGCTACTAGCGCTGCATCTGAGACTCCACCCTGAAGGGCAGTGAGAAAGATATGGGACGGGGAGAGAAGGAAAATTATTGTGAGATCTTTTTATTTATAAATTTTGATAAACCATATTTCTTCGAAACCATTATGTTTTAGTGTCAGGTTCAATACACGTCGATTGTGATATTGCCAGAAAATGACGTTCATCCACATATCATGTAATGAAAAACGTGTATTCGTGAAAGTCACTGCCAGTGTCAAGTGTTAAAACTAATGCATTTCAAAATATTCTGAATAACAAAATATAAACAGGCCGGTCGGGATGGCCGGGATCGCTAAGGCAGTAGTACGGTAGCGATCTGGGACCGCGGAATCGCGGGTTCGAGCCCCTCGTTGGGCATGGTTCTATTGTGTTCGTCCTATCACCCCCATCGTATCGTGTTCACAGTTACACGCAATAGTGGTCGCTAATGACCTGATGTATATGTATATGTGTGTGTGCGTGCGCGCGTATAAACATATATAAACACTCCCATATATCGAAAATTTACATCACCTCTGTGAAACATTGGTTGCATTACCACATCTCTGAAATTACATGATTGGTTCGGTACTTTTTTTTAAAGTCGTAAAAAGTATAATTTTATAATTATTGACATTAATTCCATTAAATTGGCATTGAATTTTTGCGTAAGTTTGATTAAAACGAGTTACTTAGGTGTTATATTACAAAATCGTAAATACAAACAAAACTTCTTTAAGAGTATTTCTAGCGTTCGGAGGCAGTGTGGGCCCAGGCGTCAATTCTCTTCCCTACTTCCGGCGCTTCAGACAGCGTGAGACTCAGGCGATGACGAGGGGAATGCAGAAAGGAGACCGCTGTTTACCCGACCTGTCACTTGTGCCCACGAGACTGACAAGGGCGCGCGATCGCTTACGCCCATACGGAGCGCGTCGTGGCTACTGACAGCGCGATCGCCGGCTAGAGGTAACGGGGCGGCTCATGAGACAGGAGTGGGGAATAAGTGACAGGTGTGCGCAATTAACGCCCGACAAAGGAAAGCAGAGATAAGGCAGTAACGGCGCGAAAGAAAAGCTAATTAAATATACTCTAAAGCAGATCGCTTAATAAAAGTTGTGATGGAAGAGAATGACAAGTGTCTTAAATTAGTGAAGATACTCGTATGTAACGAATACGAAAGTGATGTGGGCAAGAGGTAAACTTATCATGATTCACTGCCACGCAGTTTTCGTTCTAATGGAAACTCCTTCGAGTTTCAATAGACGCCCTCTATGAAGGATTGTATTCCAAACATCACGGCCATTCTCGAGCCAAGTAAACTGTTTACATTCATGTATAACAATCTCTTAGTCTTTAATAATTGAGATACAAACGTTGGCTATGACGCCCCTTTACCATCAGCCACGCAGATTGGTCTTGAGAACAGGAAACGAAAACAAACGTTTGTCAACGGGAGTGTACACGGGGAAGACGTATAACCGAAGACGCCTCACGCAAACCGTGCCGAAACAACGAAACGTCTTTTGTTTTGGTTTTGCAAAACGAACGAGGCACGCGGTCGCAAATACAAAACATAAGAAAAGCGTCCTGTAAGTTGGAAATGGGGCATGCAGCATAAAAGCGAGCGATGCTTCATGCTCGAATCTCCGTGCTCGCATACGTCATGTTTTTCACTATTTGGGCACGGCGCCCGGAGTGGACACTTAGGCAGCCTATGTGGAGCTCCAGAAATCTTTGAACTGCTCTTGGCTGGCGCTGCAAAACTCGGGGAGTGGGGCGGTGGGACGGGAGGGCCACGCGTGCTCCGTCGTTCCGATCATCGCCCGACGACGGAACGAGGGCGCGTCAGCGCAGCCTTCTCCACCAAAGCTGCTCGGGGACATGTATAGTTGATTCCATTACCATGTATTGAGCAGCCGGAAACATCACGAAGATTTAAAAAAAAAATACACAAAGTGCACCTTTTATAATTCGTTTAATTATATGGGGGCAACGTATAAAATATTGTAGTCACATTCCGCAGCTACTAACGCAATGCTTGGTGGAAACCGTTGCATGTATTCACATTGTATAGGAGTACGTAATTTCAGTATGAAGAAGTAAAGTATTGCATAGAACTTTGTATTCATCTGAGGGAAAAACTTCAGTTATATAACTGAAACATTAAGGGGAAAGAGCACTGCTCTTAAAAAAATGCTTGTATTAAACGTATTTTATTAAAAGTTCAGGA